AGAAAATTTGTAGAAAATGCGAGATCGAAAAGATGGATATGTCGACTGAAAGCTCGGCCCGAACATTCAGCTAAATTGGCCAAGAACTTATTACGCTACTACGCTATTTAATAGTATTATAATTTCTTGCAATTTTGTGAAGTTTTATACAATGAGAAATACGGAGATGATTTAAAAGTATGGACAGTAGCAAGCAAAAACGCAAACGGAAGAGAGAGAAACTGACGTGTTTAGTTTGCAATCGGTCGTTTGATGACGAATGGATGTGCTTTTTCGATTTTTTTTCGGAACTACTTCGCCTATTTTAAAAATAAATTAAAATAAATTATCTTACTAGTCGGAGTTAATCATTGTACATCACTTTGACCACGCCCTAACCGCTCGCTAGCCACGCCCTTTTGCCGGCAAAAAGTTGTCTTGCACCCCCCGAGAAGGATAGCCTTCGCTCCGCCCCTGCGCGCGTCTACTATTTAATTATGACCCTTGCAGCCCTATTTTGCATTTTCTGCAGCTTATCAAGAAGATATTCACTGCAGTTACTCCATACAAGGGGGTAAAAAGGGTGGAATAATCAAAATATGGCAGTATTATCGCACGATACAGCTTAGTCAATGTTGTTTTCGGAACCCAATTTTCTGTTCTACGTAACATACCTATGTCTACGCAACATACCTAGGGATTTGTCGCTTTTGCAACGCGCCAAATTTTACCCATTTAAATCCTCAGTAGTCTTTTTAGCGAAACAATTTTACGAGATGGCCATGTATAATATGATCGATGGCTTTTCCGTGTTAATTTATGCGTTGTATGCGTAATCGAAACAGTTATGAGAAAACATTGAGAGGAAATTGAAAATATTTTTGAGTTTAAATTAATACTGTCATGTAATTTTCGGTGCCAAGGAGATGCAATTTCCTGCAAGGGCCATAAGTCGACTACGCTCCTTCGCTACGCATGGGAACTCCAGCCTGCCCATTCTTATATCCGCTCACTCGTTTTACTCCCCTGCATGCAATGCGATACAAGTTATAATGTGACTCGACTTATAGCCACTCTCGTGCACTCTCATCATCGTTTGATCTTGCCTGTTACATGTCACCGAAGTGTTCACACCCACAAACGTTGACGACCAACCTACATATAAAAACAACACCCGGGCAGTCTATGTTCTTGAAATCCTATCTTTGGAAAATGCAGGGACAGCTTGGACCACATGCATGTTTAGGATGTTTACTGTATTCTGTGACTATGTCTGTGCTGCACAATGTTGACTCATCTATATGTATAAATCTTTTTTTCTAACTTGATCATTTTCCAAACCTTCTTTGCAAATTTCAGGTCTCTTCATTTTAAGGCAGTTGACTTAGAAAGGATTGCAATATATACATGGGCGGTCCATGTCTAGTTCATATTAACTTTGGAAAGTGTAAGGATGGTTTGGAACGCTTTGATCGTGTGTTGTAATTTTGTGTTGTAGCTTTGTTAAAGTTGTAACCTGTCTCTATCGTCTTACAATGTCAATGTAATGTGTAGGTAGGACTTAATTTGGGACTCCTCAGTCCTGTTGTCTGTACCTTCAATCGTTTTGTTGATTGTAAAGTTTATAAATAAATAAATATACAAAACAATGGACACTCCGAAAAGAGTTAATATTTTTAATTCGACGTTTCGACTATCTTGTAGTCATCATCATCATCATTCCTGTTTTGTATTTTTTTTAATTACTCAGTGGTAACCGTAACTTCCAACCTACACATTTTTGGCTTGTTTACAATTCTTATTTTAAATTAAACAGCTATAATCCAGCTCTTAGGAAGAAGCCTTTATTGTATTTCATTGATGTCATAAGTGGGTCATTCTCACACAACATCCCGTGTAGACCTTAGAAGTGCTTACGTCACGCAATTTTAATACAGAGGACTTCTGGAATGCACAGCGAGTGCATTATGGGATACATTTAGATCAATAATTCATTTTTTATTTTTTTTGAGAATTACGGCACTTCTGAGGTCCAGTTTCATATGAATTATTATTGAATTTCAAAACAAGATGAAGATACGAAAAAGTTTGTAGTTGCAGCTTTCAAATTTCTTCTATATTATAAGGCAGTAAAACACAACAAATTTATATTAAAATCTGACATTGCATGACCGATATAACATTGACTGACGTATCGACGATTATTACATATAAAATACGCTACTTTAAAACGGGAATAAAATAAAAGTGAAAAAATAAAATCCACCCGCAAGCGATAAAAAACTAACTAAGCAATAAAAACAGAATTATTTTTGAAATAGGCCTAAGGATTGAAAACTCGTGCATGTTTGCATGTACGCTGTCTTGCCAAGGCATCATCGTCATTGCACTGCGTGACCTGCAGGTCTGAGCCTTGCTTTGCCTATATCGATTGAGATGTAAACAAACTTTGGCCCAGTCTATAGGCCTGATCTAGGCCAGGAAATCTTGGTCGATTGCACAACAAAAGAAATTCGATCAAAGTATACAGAGAGCTAAGAAGCATATAGTAAACTGGTGTAAATATAGCGGAATGCGTTGAACTGCGATGGAGCACTGAGTATAGCACTCTCTATAGCATTCGAGTTGTTAAGTGCAGTACTCACAAATACAAAAAAATATATTGGCTTACAAACATAATATGACGAACATGCCGCTACAAGTGATAAAGACGTCCAAGAAGGAGATGACTACATGTTGAAAAGCTATACCTTTTGTTTTAATTTAGATAATTGATTTATTGCCTGTAAGGCTATTAATTGTTAAGTAATGAACGATTAATCATTGTACTTTTGAACACAATTTCTCATGAGCAATCCTTTCACGAATATCCCAGCTCAATTTTATTGACAAAAGAAAAAGATGTGGCTCGACAAAATTGCGGTAATAACTGAACAAATCTCATTTATCACTGCGTGCACTGCGATCGTTAACGAGACTGTTCACATTTTCTTCCTTCCTGTAATTTGCCCTCCCTCTCCTCTCAATACAATGTCGAGAAAACAATTTGAGCTATATTAAACCGTCTCTCTTTGTATCATGTTTACAACACTGTTTGAGCGGGAGTTTCTTGTCTCAAAAATGTTTGCACGCGATTGTAGGTGCGGCCTTGTGTCAATTTAATCAGATACAGATCGCCTGATCATGCTCTACAGTATATATTACATGCATTTTAATAATAAACTGCCCTGTGGTGTATCCATCACAGTAGTTCTTTTATTTTTATTATTCCTTCAGTGCAAAAGCACAGATTCCTCGCTTTGTTTTCCATTGACGTCACAAGTGCGTCATCCTCCCACAACTTACAACTTCCATACCAATTATTATTATAATTAGTCTCTTTGAAACTTTCAAATGTCTTCTAAACAAGACACTGAAAACACGATATATTCATATTAAAACCTAGCATTGTATATTACCATGCAACATAAGGGTTGACAGACTTATCGACGAATATTACAAACGTAATTGTGCTGAACACAATTTTCATACCGAACATTATTGAAATCTCAAAACCAATTAATTGGCAGGAAAACTTCCTTTTTTATGATAAATATCAGAGCCTAACATATAACTTTTAACAAAGCCATTAAAACAGTTAAGATTTTAAAGAATTTTTATTGTAACGTTTCGTCTTTAACTTAAGACATCTTCAGACTAGATAAAGCAAATTATAATCTAATTATAATCTATTTACAAGGTGTTATGTTACTAAGGATAATAAAGGATAAGAGGGTGTATGTATGACAGGACGATACAAATGAGGAAACAAAACAGACACAAGACAACGGCAAATTACAGAAGGTTAAGCGGAATAGAGCT